CTGTCAGCATTACCATACACGGCTTGGAGGCCGCACACCCCGCATATTACTGTTCGTTCACCTTACAATGAAACAAATGCTAAGGAATTAAAAAAACTCACCTTTTTAGATGCATGAATATCATCAAATTGACTTGCTTGCTCACATAGATCGAGGAAGTTATAACCGTTATACCGCTCGTTCTAAACCGTTCGTCCTAAACCTGAAGTAAAACAATAGGGTTTTCTACTAATTTAGTATTCGCTAAGGGAGAGGAGGTCACGCAAGGCGGGTGTTTCTCAGTTTTTGCAAGTATGATAATACGAATCTGCACTACCCTATTTAGGAGACTGTCAGCATTACCATACACGGCTTGGAGGCCGCACACCCCGCATATTACTGTTCGTTCACCTTACAATGAAACAAAAGCTAAGGAGTAAAAACTCACCTTTTAGATTCATGAATATCATCATATTGACTTGCTTATCAGTATAGATCGAGAAAGTTATAACCGTTGTGTTAAACCGTTCGTCCTAACCCGTTCGTCCTAAACTGAAGTAAAACAATAGGGTTTTTTACTAATTTAGTATTTGTTAAGGGAGAGGAGGTCACGCAAGACGGGTGTTTCTCAGTTTTTGCAAGTATAATAATACGAATCTGCACTACCCTATTTAGGAGACTGTCAGCACTATCATACACGGCTTGGAGGCCGCACACCCGCATATTACTGTTCGTTCACCTTACAATGAAGGAGTAAAAACTCACCTTTCGCAGGAAAAACTCACTTCGTTCTTCTAAAAAATATTTTATCTTCTTTATCTTCTTGCAAATCTTAATTATTCACAGACGTAAATAACAAATAATTACCTTTTTTATGTACTTGCGGTTTGGGTGGGTTGTAAAAAAGCTAAAAAATGTTTATTTACTGTATATAAATTTTACGCGAATCTGATGACGTATTGATGCATAAATCGAACATTTTAGAACAATTTTATCAATAAGTCACGAGAAATAGTTTCTAAAAATAAATTACTTGTTAGGGTAATTTTTTATAATTAAATTTTATTAATAATTATAATATATTAATCTAATATTTTAATATTTTATTAAAATATTTTAGCACATTCTGTTTTTTTAATATATTTTTATTTTTATTTTTTTTTATTTATTATATTTTATAATAATTTTTTATTAATAATTTTTTAAAATATATTTTAAATTAAGAAAATATTTATTATTTTAATTAAGATCTTTTATATGTATTTGCATAAAATACAAATATACATATATTTATAAAAAGATTAATTAATTAAAAAATTTTACATATAACATAAAAATTTTATTATAGTCAACTTACTATAAATGCATCCTCTCAGAACTAAATAAAAGTATACTTTTATACAAAAAATGCATTATAAAAAAAAAATTTTATATTAAGATCATATAAATAAAATTATTAGTTTCTCATTAATAACCAATTTATATAAATGTTATGAAAAACTTATTTTTATTTTTTTATTATATGATTTTTATTCACAAGGAAAAATAAAAACCTATAACTAAACCTATTTTAGATTAAAAGTAGTTTAGGATTGTAATATGACAACAGGTTTACATTACCTACAAAAATCAAAAATGTATCAAACTATTTTATATAAAATGGTTATATTACAATTATAATGATTATATTAGAATTTATCTAGCTATTAATTTAGCTCAAATTTAGATATACAATAAAAAATATCTCACATTTTTTTGAATAAATTTTATAAATCATGATTTTTAATTTAAATTTTTTTACAGAAATTTATTTCAACTTGCAATTGATGATTTTACTACTTCAGGAAAAAATAAAATTATAACATGTATTTTTTCATTTAAGATAAATTTTTTTTAAAACAAAAAAAAATTTTTTTTTAGATTTAACTATTAGAATAATAACCTAATGATTAAATTTAAATATATAAATTTAGGTTTTTTTAAAATAATAAAAAATATTTATATTTATTTAAGATAATTATTTATGTAATTTAATTCAAATTTAAATTTTGAATTTCTAAAATAGGACTATATATTAAGTGATAATAGATTTATTTTTTCTATCTCTTTGATTTATATATTACTAATTTTCTTTATTTTTTCTTCATTAATACTTGAGTAATATTAGTAGTATTTTATCAAAACTTATCACCAATCTTACTTGAAGATATTTCAAAATAATATAATTAGTCATTATTTTTCAAATTATTTTTACATAATATTTAAGCCTTCTTTCTTACCACTTACTCATTATATATCTTTATTTTTTATAATATTATTATTATTACATATATTAGTATACTTAAATAGAAAAAACATGATTATCATTAAAGATAATAAATAATATATCTACTATTATATTAAATTTGAAGCTTAGAACTTATAAAATAAAATAAAATATTAATAATATTTCGTAAAAAATATAATAAAAAATTTAAAAAACTTATTTTATCAAGAGATATTTATAAATACTTATAAAATAAGAAAAATAATAGTTTAAAAGATATATATTTAAAGTATGCAATATCTTACAAAAAAAATAATGAATATTAGTAAAAATTTTATTTAAATAAAATAAATCATAAAATCAAGATAAAAATACTTTTAAAATAGTACTTACTTTTAAAATTGATAAAAGAATAAAATGAATATTAGTCAACGTTTATTTAAATAAATAAATAAAAATTTGAAGAAATATTATTAAAATAACACTTAGAAATCTTTAAAACTTATAAAAGCAAATAAATGAATATTAATAAAAGTTTAAATTAATAAATAAAATAAAAAGATTATAAAAATACCTTTAAAATAATAGAATTTAATATCTAAAAAAAGATACATAAATAGTGAAAAGATATAAAAATAAAATGAAAAATAATTAATAAAATCTTCTTATCAGTTATTTTTAGAGTTCAAGTAGCTAAAATAATTGAAATCTAAATAAAAGTAAATATAATTAGCAAAAATAAATAAAAATAAACAAAAAAATAAATAATAAAAATATTTAACAATTGTTTTCAGAATTTAAATTTAAAATTTAAAAAAAATAAGTATAATTAACAAAATAAATGAAAATAAGTAAAATATAAATAATGAAAATATTTACTGATTTTTTTTAAAACTCAAGTAACCAGAAATTAAAATTAGCAAAAAATAAATAAAAATAAATAAATTAAAATAAAATAAAATAAAATATAAAGTAAAGGCCTTTTAACAGTAATTTTTAAATACCTAAAAAGCTAAAAACTCAAAAATTATATGAGAAAAATATAATCAGCAAAAAGAAAAAAAAACAAAAAAATGTGAAAATAAATAAAAGCCTTCTTACTAGTTATTTTTAGTATTAAAAAAACAATTTATAATTTTATATTAATTATTATATATAATATACTTTTAAAGATTATAATCTTAATTATTTAATTACCTGTTCAAAATGTGAAAGTCTTTTCAATTTTTTAAAGAATTAAAAATAACAATAATCAAAAAATATTTTAAAATATTAGATGAGTATTAGCAAAGTTTATAATATAGATGATACATCATATTCATAAAATATATTTAAATCTTTATATATGATCAAATTTAAAAGAATTAGATAGAAAAGTACTTTAATGATTATAGGTTACAAAATAAAATTTTATTTTAAAATACATAAAAGACTAAAATAAAATTTTTGAAAAATGTATTAAAATTTTTATTTTATATTAAAAATGTAAAACAAAATTAGTTAGATATTTAAATATTTGATTATTAGTTTAATAATACATGTCAAGATGTATAATTTATTGCATTTTTTCTTTACACTATAATTGAAATAATATATCTAAAATCTAAATAAGTAACAATATTGTCAGATAATAAAATACATTATCACTATATAGAATTGATATTAATTATTGAACATTAAAAAGAATGATATAATATAATACTTTGTATATAATTTTTCTTAAAGCAAGAGAGACTAAAATTACAATTAATTTATATTATATAGATATATTTAGCTATATTATTATTTTATAAAATTAAAAATAATATTAATTAACCAATTTATTAGTATAACAAGATCTCAATAAGCAATAAAAGATACATAAAATTTGAATATAATATTAATTATAAAAATAATATTGAATTAATAATAAGGTTACTTATCTAAACTTATTTTAGATTTGATAAAATATCTAATATAGTTTTGTATTTTTATAAGCTTTCATATAGTTTTATTTTTTTTAGAATTTTGCAAATTTTATATTTTTTATTTAAATAACTTGCAAAACCTCTAGATTTTTTAATTAACAGTAAAAAATATAGTAGTATTTAGGTTATTAATTTGAATTTTAATAGAAATAATAAAATAAAACTCTAATTATAATATATTAAACTTTAAAATAAATCTAATATTTATTATTCTATTTAAATAAAACAAAATTAAATACTATTATAGGAATATCAATCTGCAAAAATAGATTTAACTTATAGAAAAAAAATGTTAGTTATATTTATACATACGTATTATTAAAAAATTAGAAAGTGAAAAAATAGTTAAATATAAAAAATTAAGAAATCAAACCTTATTTTTACACCTCATATGAGAAGTTTGCTAGAAAAATCAAGCTCTAGGAATTTTTAACAAAATTTTGATTTTTAATTTTGATATTATCAAATGAAAATATAATAAGATTTAATTTTAGTCAAAAAAAATCTCAGAGCTAATTTTTCTAATAAATTTTTCATATATAATTTACTAAATAATGAATCATATCAATTTTAAATGATAAAAGTAAGTTTAACTATTTTTTGTATTTTATTTTTAAGTAAAAATAACACAATTACTTATTAGGTAAGTAGGATTTAATATAAGATAAATTGATAAATGTGATTTATTTTAAAATGTTTAATATATAAAATTCTAATAACTAATTATTTATAGAACTGAATATTTATTGATTTGACTAATTTGAAAAATATTATAAACAATGGATCAATAAAAACTAAAAGGTACAAATATTATACAATTACATTTAAACCTGTTAATTGTATTAATTTATTTATTTATTTATTTTTGATATAGTTAACAGATATTTACTAGTAGATTGATTTTAAAAGAAAATGAAAAGACTCATCAATGTGGACCAGTAAAAAGAATATCTTCTTAAGTAAAGCATCTTTTAGAATCAATATTTCATACTAGAATGGCAAAGTCCTTGTCAAAAACTAAATGCAAAACAAATATATAAAGAACTGTTGAAGCGTGCAAAACTAGTAAAATTGAAGAAAATGATATATTTAAAGTAGCTACAATAACAAACTGGATTTCAACTTTTTCATGCAAATGGAAAGAGTCCATGGCTTTACATTCTTTAAAAGATATAGACCCAGAAAATTTATAATAAGTATTTGCAAGTACTTATAGATAAAGTTAAAAATTCGTATTTTGAATGCTTTGTTAATGATATAATTAATATATAGTATACTGTATGTATATATGCTTCAAAACCTACGGCTGTTACAAGAAAATATATAGTTACTAAATAATTATTTTCATCAAACGATAATTTCATACGGTTGCATATACGACTTCGTTCGTTATAAACAATTAATTATTTTTACTAAGTAAAATTTGTGCCGATCTTTCACGGATTACGACTTAAACTTTAATTTCTTGTTTTTAGAATCGATTAACCTACTTTGTGGAAATTATAACGTAACATGATCAATTATCTAATACGCAATGCTTTTACGTATCTAAAAAGCTAGAGATAATTTAATACAACTGAAAAATATAAAAAGAAAGTCTATTTTACCTCATCATTTCAATTGTTATTTATTTTTGATAATAATGTATATAAATTTATAAAATATTTATTTATTATTTTTCGCCGATTCTATCTTCGACAGCAAGAGTGAATTCACAACTACTTAAAAACTTTACGCGTTTCTACCTAATTATATCTTCTGTTTTGCATAGAGATATTATTTACTGGGAAACGGAAAACGTTATGGTTTGTGATTTCACGAGAGAGGACAGAGATACAACTTTTCATAGTGCTATTGTCGCTCCGGACAAATAGTACACCTGTTATGAGGATTTATTAGATCGTTTTGAGTATGAAATCGTATGGATTAGGTTTCCTTTAAGATTACAAGTTTTTGGCTAGCATACACCCAGAGCATATTAAGTTGAATGATTCAGTATTTGAGAGACTTTAATGAGTACGTTGAAAGTATTAACTTCATTAGGTATGTTTTTGTAATATCATTTGTAATATCATGCAAGTAAACAAGAAATTTGTGAATAAAAATTAATTTTGCACAAATAAACTTAGAAATTAATAAAAAAAAAAATAACAAAATGTATGATAAAGATATAAAGACAATAAAGAAAACTTAACTCGTGAAGGGTAACGTACTTATAAGGCTGTAAGTCCCTGGATGAAAACATTTTCACAAGAAGATAGAACTATAAATGAAAAAAAAATCATATCATTAATTAAATACAAAAGGAAAAAAGTAGGAAACTTTGTTTGACGCACTTCTTCCATTTCTGTCAACTCTCAATGTATGACAAACAACCTTGTAAAGTTTCATAATCGTCAAAGCTATGTCTATTTGTTTACATAAGGAAAGAATTTGTTTATGATGACAATTATGAGTTAAGTTGAAAATAAATAAATATGAATTTTATCGATTATTTAACATGGTTAGTTCCATACCATAGATAGGTTTCCATCATATACAAATAAAATTTATTCCCATGAAATGTCGTTCGAGATTTTTCCGCAAGGTAACAAACTCATACAGAATATTGCAACAATTCACCAGCAAATATTTAGGGAATAATTTAAACTTGTTTCTAAATCCCAAATGAAGTAAATGGAGGGCCACTATGCTTTAATGCGAGTCAAATATTTACGCGACATGTTTTAAGGTAACGCGGGATCCAAATTTAACGCGCAAAGGGTATCGGTCTTGTTTAATAAGATACTCATGTCAAAGTTTTAAAACAAATTTTGGTTGAATCAATTTTGTCAAGACCATTTGAAGGATCTTTTTGTTTAAAGCATTTACGAATTTCGGCTTTATTGTTTAAATTGATATAAATTTTAATCTTCATATCTTCATTAAAGTATCATCATATTAACAAAAGTTTTAAAAAAAATCATAAACAGCGCTAGATGGATCCCTTTAAGATATTTTGTTAACAGTATAACTTTTACTTTTATTTAACAAATCTTGTTGGGATTTCTTTAATATTGACGGTATCATTAACTGCGGCATTGACGATCAATTTCTTTTTGGATTGTTTGTAATCAATTAAAATCATCCGACAATCAGTTAGCGCTTTCTTTCTTCCCTTTATATATTTTATAAAGATGACAATATTTCCAACAGATATTCTTGAAGAGATCTTTGAAAATCTTGAATCTTCAATATCTACATTACATTCTTGTCTTTTGCTTTCACGAGTATGTTGTAAGGCGATAGTCCCAATCCTATATCGTCAACCATTTCGTTATACCCGACAAAATCCTTCACCGAAATTAATTGATACTTATTTGTATAATATAACGTCAAAAGATATATCACGTATCCTTAAGGTGGACCTAGATTTTTTATTAGAACGGTTCAACATCGAATTATCGGATTCATCAAGAAGGGATTCTATTTTCAATTATCATTCATATTTAAAAAGGTTAAATTATCGGGACTTGTATGATTTTGGTTTGATTTGGTATAGAAATATTCAAAAACAAAATGATGTTAAAATTAATGATAATGAAAGGTATAAATTTCTTAATCCAACGGAAAATGAACCTTACAGTCAAGAACCCATGAAAACTTTATCAAGAATTTTATTAAACTTTTTCATGATCAAAGGTGCTAAATTAGATTACCTTTTTATGGATTCCGGAAAGGAATTAATCGGTCATTATAATATTGATGATGATTATGATGAAGTTGAAAATTATGTGGAAGAGATTGATGATGATGACAGATACCTTCAACCTCCTACCGTTTCATTTCCCGTATTAGATAATTCAATTGAAATCGTTGTTACAACTAAAAGTCTTCGAGAAGAAGGGGGAGTTGATGATGATCAAGATGTTAACGTTGTTAACCCTATATTGAGAAATTGTTTGGAGAATTTAAAAATTTTTGGATTTTATGGTAAAGGAAAATTTCAGGGGCAAACTCTTGATAACATTTCGTCAATCTGTCAAGGTCTTCAAACATTGATAATAAACTTGACAGTGAATGATGAATGGAATACGGCAAGGGCTAAAAAGGAGATAACAAGTTTAAATGATTTAATTAATAATCAAAAGGCTTTGAAAGATTTTATTTATGTTGAATATCAAGGAAAATTTTGGTGGAGTCCCTCTTCAAGGTTAAGAGATATTGAGATCGATTTTTCTCATCATGTGCATAATTTGTTGGTCGTGGAATTTTATGATGTGTACTTTCAATTATGGAAACCTTTACACGTACTTGCCTCATTAACAAATTTACAGGAATTGTCATTTGTAAGTTGTAAGCATCAAGAGAGTGTCATGGCACCATTAAAATATTCCTCTTTTAAAAAACTTCAAAAATTATCAATTATTGGTTGGGATGAGATCACCCTAATTGATCCAAAAGTTGTAGAAGTTCTGATCGAAAATGCTAGTGATACGTTAAGATCTTTATCAATTGTGTTGACGCATGAAGTCTCTACGACTGTATTGGAGTCGATCAATAAATTTCAACCGAATTTGGTAGAATTGGCAATAAAATTTGATCAAACACATCTTTCCACTTTACAACAACTTCCATTTTATGGTTTTGGAAATTTAGAAAAATTAACTTTAAATAATTGGGGTCATGTTGCTATAGACGTTGATTTAATCTTACCTTTATTAGGAAAATCTTTACCACCAAATTTAAAAAAATTACAAATTTTAGCACGTTGGACATTTTCAACAAAAGGTCTTAAAATTTTTCTGAATAATTGCGAGGCAAAGTTAAAATATATTGACATACGACATTGTACAGGTATAACTGAAGAACATATTGATCTTATTTGGATGAAATTTAGCGATAGTTTAGAAAGGTTGATTATTAGGGAGATTGAGGGAAATGATGATGTGCCTTACGGCCAAATCCTTGAAGCGAATTTCACCGCGAGTGAAGATCATCATTCGACACATAGTGGTAGCATTGAAGCAAATCTTTTCGAGAGTGAAGAAGGTAATCCTGCGAATGATAGGAAACCTGTTTACGTTAAAAGAATTGAGATTGATCCTTCTGAAGATGAAGCTTATTCTTATGTTAGAACCGACAAACTTAGATACAGATGGGAATAAATTATGTGGAGAATTTATTGTCTTCATAGTTTTTTTAAAAAAGAAATGATATTCAAACTACGAACAATTTAAATAAAATAAAATAACAACAACTTCATAATTAAACTAATAGAGGTGAATCAATAACAGCAAACCCAGTTGCTACACCACCTTCATTAGTTTCTCTTCCTTTAGTTCTCAATAGATGACCTCCAATCTCATTAACAATAACATCATCATTTCCAATAAATACGCCATAAATTCCTAATTCAGAGATCATTTCACCTTTAACTAATTCACCTTGCCTTAGAATAATATTTCTCATCGAAGGTGGTTGTATTAAATCCATTAAAATATACGATGATCTTTCTGATGTAGAAATTTCTAATAATTTAGGTGGGATATCCTTTGTATATATATTATTCCCTAAAAATAAATTAATAAATTTTTTTTTTAAAAAAAAAAATGGTTTGTAAAATGAAGAGCAGCATATTTACTGTAATTACCTCCGCCTTCTCGTTGTGGTTTCATCACAAACCGTTCGGGATTTTCTAAGGCAAGCTTTACAGCTGCCTCACCTTCAGATGAAGAATCTAATGGATATAAACCTGCAAAGCTTGCTCTAAGCTTCTTTGCATCTGTTGCATTGGTCACATACCTAGATAATATATATAAGAGAAAATTAATTTGAAAGGAATAACATAAATAAAAAGTATTCAGGTTGTATTTACTTTTCTAAAACTCCAGGCATGGCCAAAACCTGTTGAACTTTTTTAGTACCAACAAGCTGGTATGCAACTGTTGGACATTTAATAGATTTCGAACGTTCAATCAATAATCTAGCATCCCATTCCTATTTAATTATTAAATTCAGTTAATTGATTATAAATGTAAATTGGACTGTTATGGGGAAAAATACAAACTTTCTTTGTAGGATGTAGTTCGGGCGCATATCCTGAACGGAAATATGTAACTGAAATTTCTTTATCATCTCTAACAAATGTATATAAGATTTAAAACCTTTTTTCTTTTAAATAAAAAAAAATGAAATGAAAAATTTCGACTTACATTATTAAAGCATGAGTTTCGGGATCTAATTTTCCTTGTTGATCTATTTCTGCGAGTGTTTTACGTATAATATGTATTTTATGACTGTAATAAAGAAAAAAGACGATAAATCGTTGAACAACGTTCTAGCATTTAAGGAATTTTGTTTAATTTTTTTATTTACTTGTTTAATAAATTATATTCAATCCATCTTTGATCAAAAGCATTCCTTTCTTCACCAATCACAACCATCATGACCACGGCGCTAAAAAATAAAAAAAGGTTCTATGAGAGTTTATCATTATTTTTTATTGATATTTTTTTTTAAAAGAAAAAATATTACTTTGGAGATCCATAAAGCTCATGAGCTTTTGCAATACCTTTGGGTAAGCTTGTCATTGCATCATTTAATGGTAACGAATCAATCTTTAATAATTCTGAAGAATTAAAATATTTGGTGGATTCCAATAAATATCTAAGAAATGACAAGACAATTAAGATTTCTAAATTAAAAGGAGAAAGATTTAACAACACAAGTTTATATACCTGTGTAATTCTCCAGTTAGAAATGATAAGCTAGAGAAAGAGGAAGAAATGGTATTAAATTCAACTTGCAAAACGTTAGCTTCTGATGCATCTTGTGGAACATGTAAAAGATAATCGGATCTATGTAATCCTAGAGAAATTGGCTAGATGCATCAAAAAGATTAGTTTTTATTTATTGAGAAAATGAAATTATATATTAAACAACCTGTTTTACCTGAGCAATTCCTTCTTCTTTTATTTTTAGATAAATTTTATAAAGTTCATCAATAAAATCATCGACTTTAGTAACCCTAAAATCAATTATTTGTTTTTAAAACGATTAAATTAATTTTAAATTTGAGCATATGTTTAATTATTTACACTTACTCCTCAATAACTTGAGTAATAAATTCATGATTTCGAGACAATTTATGGAATAAAAGATTAAATACGGGTTGTAATTCTATAGCTTGGTAAAAAGTTTTTTTTGGAAAAGGTGAAGGAAATAAAGATATAGGTGCATGCATAACCGAAGAGTTATTAGAAAGTGCAAGGTTAGTTGGTGGACGTATTACTAAACCATGAGAAAGTGACCAATCTATAGCTAATTCTTGTAAAGATTGTAAATTGTCATTAGAAAGGTTTGGAGGATATTCGGGAAAGAATGATTTAGACATTATTGTCGATTTTATTTATTTTTATTTATTATTTCGAGAAATTTAAATTATCGGGGGGGAGGGATTATTTATTTACTTTATATGTATTTATTTATAATGACGTCACATGATAACATCCCTAAACTCTCAATCATTTTGGTAAAAGTTAATGTAGATCATGACAAATCAAAATGTCTACAGAAATGACTAATCAAGTCTAAAAAATTTTCCCCGTCCTTTAACAATGAATCATCTCGAATATTTTTATTACGGAACCATTCATCCGGAAGAATGGGTTAAGCAAGTGCGATTGGCCTTTTATGATTATAATAAAAACGAACAAGAAATTGTTAATTATTGTAAATTACTCATTCCTTCTTATATCAAAATTCCTCCCGAGACCGAATCCTTTGTTGCGTTAATCAATGCCTTAAAATCAGATATTTCTTATGAAACCTTTAAAAGTTCAGTTAAAAGGAATTTAAAAGCATTAAAAGTTAGTCTTGATAATGAAAAAGATATTTTAACATTCTTGAATCAATTTCAACGGCACTGTTATGAGGGAGAAATCAATGAAATTGGAGAACAAAAGCAATTATTCTTAAATTTATTGCCAAAAAATTCTATTCAACACTCTTTTGTTCGTCGTAATTTTGATAAAATTAATTCAATGAAAGAATTATTCAAGAATTTTGATCAAAGTCTTTTTGAAGGACCTAGAATCATTCAAAATTATTCTTTTATTACTTTAAAACATGTTGCAACCGGAAATTACTTGACTACTAACAATTCGCTGATTTCAGATTTTCGGAATACTATGGTTTGTAATTAAACAAGATTTTCTTAATTATAATTCTTTGTTTAATATTTTTATTATGCATTCAGGTTTTTGCAGCTTCTGTTAATTCTGATTTACGTAATGAATCCGTATGGGAAGTTTCAAAACAAGATCTTCGAGATGGAAACGCACTTTGTTACGGAAACTTATTTCAGTTATTCCAGAAAGATAGAAGTAATTTGGGAGATTGCTTGCAAATATCTGATTCAGCTAAATCTCCCGCAACTAACCATTCACAAGGTGATATTTTAACTTTTTAATATTTACCTTTTGAATTTACTCATAATAATGGGGGGTTTTTATAATTGCAGTATTCGTTGCAAGAAAAAAATCATTTTTTCATTGCAAAAGCGTCAATTCTAAAAATTCACCTTACGTATATGATAAAGATGTAATTTTTTTACAATGTAATGATGATTTAACATTACGTAGTCATGAGTTCACTTTTAATATTCGCGATAAGAAACTTCAAGAAGTAGTTGGTCATAAAGAGAGACTTGGTGGAAATGATGAGGTATTTAAAATTATTTTTTATTTTTTTTATCATTTTAATTTTAGTTATCAATAATGAAAAGTTCTTTATTTAGTGGTGTATTGAGTTTGCTTAACTTCTATTGGAATGTTGGAATAAATAATGTTTATAGATTGAAACGCAATAAACTATCTTTCACGTCTATTTTATTAATAAATAATAAATTTGGTCGGTCAAATTATTTTTGGAAACTACCATTGATAATATACAGTAAGTTTAAAGATACAATATAAACAATTGGATCAATTTCCGAATCATATTTAAAATCTAATTGAATGTTTATATAAACTTGTTTACTACTGTACAAATTTCATAAATTTCATGAAATATTATATTTTAAAGTAAATTTATTGTTTAAATATTCATATATTAAAAGTATATTTAAAATCTTTTAATATTTCAAAATCTTTTTTTTTATTAAAATATTAAATGATAAATAAAAAGTAAAATTATTTTATTAAATTATATTATTTTATTAAATTATTTAATAATATTAATAATATTATAATTACCTTATTAAAATTAAATTCTAGCTAAATATTATTATTAATAAAGTATTAAAATAATTAAAATAATATTTTAGAATAATATTTATAAAAGAAGATTTCTAAAAAAAAATAAGGTTAATTAATTATTAATTAAATAAAAAATATATTTCTTTATAATATTTATAAATAAATTATAATTATAATATTTTATTTAAATTATATTTTTATAATAATTAATATTATTTATTTAATAAGATTATAATAATTAAATTTAAAAAATTTTAATTATAAAGACTCTTGAAGAAATTTCTCTATTAGTTTGAACTTAAGTTCAAGTTTAACTTCAGTAATAATATTACCTATACTAGAATAACTTATGGCTTTTATCTTTGAAACGTCTAATATGGGATTTTTAATAACTTTTGATCTATCATTTGACAGATAAATCATAAAGTTTTATTACATAATATTTTAATCATATTAAAATTAAAATTATAATAAAAAAATTATATTTTTATTAAAATTTAATTTTTTAATAATCTTTTTATATATAGAAATATTTATTTTCTAAAAATTTTATTTATAAATAAGTTTTTTATTACAGTTTTATCTAATAATATTAAAAATCATAAATTTTTTTTTTTAATTTATTAAAAATCATAATATTTGATTTTTTAATAATTTTTTATATATTATATATTAAATATTATAATTATTATTTTTTTAATAGTATTGCCAGTAAAGTTACTTGTAATTTTATTTAATAAATAAAATTATTTTTAATTATTTTAAATATTTTATTAAAAAAATTATACTTTTATAATAAATTTTATAATGACTTTTAAGTAAAAGTAAAAAAATTTAATTAACTAGTGATTTTTAAAGATATATATAAAATAAATTATTATTAAAAAATTAAATTTTAAACTTATATATTTGCTACTTATCAATCTTAGAAATATAAAACTACTATCATTTAATAAATCTTAATATAATAAATTCAATAAACTAAATTTTATATTTTTATGATTATTATTTTTAAAAATAAAAAAATTATAAAATTAATATATATTAATAATTGTTAATTTTAAAAATTTAAAAATACTATTATTAAATATGATAAATTTAATAAATTTTATTTCATCTTTTTAAAATTACTAGATATTAAGATATTATAAGTTTCTAAAATATTTTAGAAATAATTATATTTTTACTATTTAGAAATAAAAAATAAAATATTAATTTAATAAACTAATATTTAAACAAATTAATATTTAAAATTTTAATTACTAAAATATATATATAAAATTATAATAATTAATTAATATTAATAAAAACTAAAAAAAAAAATTTTAAAAAAAAGTTTTTTAGAATTAATATTAAATTAGATTTATTTATAAAAAAAAATATATTTAATATATAAATTAAATTTATTAAGTATTTTTATTTTTTTATTACAAAATATTTATATAATATAAATTAATAAACTAATTATATAAATTATATATTTAATAAATATATAAATTTTAGATTATTAATTAGTTATATTTTATAATTATATTTTTAAAAATATAGTATTTTATTTTATTATTTATAAAAATTTTATTTTATTAAAGAATACTTTATATAAAATTATTTATTTAAAGCTATTTTAAATTTAAAAGAATATCTAAACCTTTAATTTGTAAATTTTTATTAAAATTTTAATATAGTTTTATAAATTTTAATATAAATTTACTTTTTCTAAATTTTGTAATAAAATTTTAATAAAATTTTATTAAATTTACCTTTTACTATTTAGAGATAATTTATTAAAGAAATTTTCTAAGTTTATATAAAATATTTGAATATATGTCATGTAATCTATATTTGTTATCTATATTATATCTTTTTACTTTTAATTTTTACTATTTATTTAAGACTTAGAATTTTTTAGTGAAAAATTTCTATTTATTATACTTATCTATTATATAGTTATCATATAGTAAATTTTTAATTTTTTAATGTTAATAAAAATAATGTTAATGCTAACCATAACATATAATTTTTATTTAAATACTTATGTACTGTCAGCGTTAAAAATTTTGCCCTAGAAAAATGATTTACAAAATCATTAGATTTAATTTTATGTAGATCATATTAAGGAAGATCTTGATCGACATATTGCATTAATTTGGAGGATTTGCA